ACATTCTCACCCCAGTGAGAGTGACACACAATTTCAGTAGCACTTCTCTGGAATGGAGAAGCAATGTTTCAAGTGTTTAATAAACCATGCATTTACAGACTTTAATATGCAATATATTGACTCTCTAATTTACATTAAGCTACACTGTTCAGTATGATTATGAATGCACGGTTATAAATCTCTATGAATCCCAATTAAAGAATTAATGTTCTATTGATTTATCACATTTGAGATGAGGAGAGGAAGGAGAAGAAGAAGAAGGAGGAGAATAAGGAGGAGAAAGGAGAGGGTGAAGGAGGAGGAGGAGAAGGAGGAGGAAAATGAGTAGATAAAGGAGAAGAAGAAGGAGGACAAGGATGAGAAGGAAGAAAATAATTCTTCCATGTTAATCCAGCACAGATATCTCCTTTTGGTAACAGACCACCATTTGGAGTTTTTTTTACTTCTGCTATGACTTGAATATCAAGGCATTTACTTAGTAATGAATGTACTCTCCTGTTTTGATTGGTAATATCCATGTACAGAAGGTATTTCATAACCAATTTGTTTAATCTATTCAGTTGAGAATCAGTGAGCAAACTGTCCATGCTTCTCAGTGATCATTAGATAAAACTTCTTGCATGTAGGTAGCAGGTTGTTGCAGCCCTTGGCCTTCACCCCTTAGCTTTCTATTTCACATGTACACGCACAGTATCACACACCTATATCCTGTCTCCATCATTTTAAAACTTATTTTTCTAATTTCCTCTCTCCCAACATTGCTTTGAAAGAGCAAATGTGCAAATCTTAATAAAAAATATAAAGGAAAGAGGCATAAAAATGAAGAAAAAAAATTGTCCTGGGTATCCTTGAACTTGTGATCCTCCTGTCTCAGCCTCCTAAGTAGCTATTATTATAGTTCAGCAACACCATGTCTCATTAAATGTTTGCACTTTCTTACATTCCTTTCTAAACATGTCTTTTTAAACCCAATGAAGAATCTGTATTAAATTTGAAGTTGTAGTTAGCTCTGTAATACCTGGTTTTGTATTGGATTTTCTTCTATCTCTACCTCATTTACATTTTCCTTCATACCTTTTTGCCTGTAATTGCATTACTTTATAAAGTATTGGCACATAAATGTTGCTTCAGGCTTTGTTTTCTAGGAAATACAGGTTAAAATATGAATCATTCAAGGTTAAGATATTATTGCAAAAATTAGGAGGACTATTTTTACAGTGGATTAAGCTTTAAAATAGCAAAATTTTACTCTACTAGAAGGTTTTAGGTTAAACTTCCTATTAAATCTACAAATGTAAACAAAGTACACATATTTGTAGTAGTATCAATGGTTGATTCCACCTTGATTCTGTAGATAGTATGATAGATCCATTTATTTTGGATGAAAAATGGTTGTTTAGTTTCAATACTGGGTGATTCTTTGTCCAGGAATAATTACATAAACAAGGGTTTTGTCTTTGATTATGCAAGAAATACTTTATATAAAGACAAGTTTCACTTGATTTAGTTTGCTATGTTCATTCTAGAAGGATGCAGACTGCCTTTATCCCTTAAAGAATGCTTTCAGACCCTCTCCGGACATGTAGAGGTCACTGAGTCCTAGCCTGAGAGACAGTCAAAGAGTTGACATGGTCAAGGGCAGGACAAGATCTTTAACACATTGAAAGACCTGGGAGGAAGAGTGACCAGCAGGCACAGACAGACAAACTTAAAGGAGATGAGCCAGATTTCCTTACTTGATGGCAAAATATGAAAGGCACCAAGCCATAAAAACCAGGCCTGAGAAAAGACAATCACCTATGCAAAACTCCATTTGGAAGGGAATCGTAGGTAAAGTTGACCTGATACCTGTATTCCTGTAGTTTTTGGCCAAATAGCCAGAGGGTACTGTGTGTTTGTGAGTCACGATTGATTATTGCATCTAAATGAAGAGAACATACAGAAATGAGTAAGAATTAAGGGCAGCCCAGGCCCATTGTTCCCACAAGCCCACTGCTCTGGAAAGTCACCACAGAATCTGTTCATGCTATGTTATCCCAATGTTCTGTGAGACTTATACTTGATTGATAATAGAATTATGGAAGATGAAGGAGAGAAAACAACAGTGAACTTCTTGCCACTAGCTTTGTTTGAAATGTACAGTAGTGTATTTTAAATGCAAATCTTAAAATTGAAGACAAATGTAGGAATTATCTCATGTTTTCAGTACAAAATCACACTGCAGGAAAACCTTTTTCTTGACCAAACATCAATGAGAAACACCTCATTCAAAAGGAGATTACCTGGAAGAAAACAGTTCTGACTCATATTTATGGAAAGATGTTTTCTCAATTTTCAGAGACCTTGATGGAGAAAAAACACTTGAGCAGTCCACTGATGGAATTTAATATGATTAAGAGCCTCTTCAGACAGGTGAACCAACTTGTGCAATGATGTGTCTGGTCTGCTTAATATTTGTAACCAGACATTCCTGTGTTAATATGGTCTAAAAATACTATCCTATTCCACTTTACAATTTTTCTCTTTTGTATATCAATCTCAACAACAAAATTTTTGATCTATCATTCATGAACATTTCCCACTTGCTGGAAACCTTGAAATAAAACTTTAGAAGTTGCCATAAATTTGTATAAGGTTTAAAAATCTTCTTAGCTTGACTGCTTAACTGTCTCAAGATTACAGCTTGATGCTAAGAAAATTTGTATACCATTGAGTTTCACTTTACTAATCTGTAGAATAAAGCAGAGAGCTAGATTATTATTTTGAACTAGAGTTTATGGGTCCTCTTCTTAAGAAAAAAAATCCTCACAAATGCCTTCTCTGGATTGAAATAGTATTTTATTAAAAATTACTTAAACATATATGGACAAAACTCTTGTAATTGTAGCTCTTTTATGATGATTTAAAAATCCAAATGAAATATACATGTTAAAATTCTTAATCTAAATTTTGTATAACAACATAGACTTATAGATCTAATTACAGTAATAAAACAATTTTAAGCTGTCTCTACTGTAAACACCATTCTTATTTAATTTTATTCTATTACCCTATGAGGTAGTCACTATTATCACTATCTTATGGAGGAAGAAAACATAGCAGGCCTTCAACAAGGAAGATTCTGTCCATCTTCATATTCAAATATCAGTTGCTACCAATTTTAGATTATTATTAACTTTAAGCATAAGAAATAATTTTAATCATAATAATCACTAATTAAACTTTCTTCATAATTTAACAGTTTATATAAAATCTTTTTATTCAGCAAAAAAAATTAAAAAGTTAACCCAAAATAAAATATTTTAAAAATCAAACATTTTCATGTCTCATATTTAGGTATTTGATCCATTTTGAGTTGATTTTGTTTTAAATATTCATTTTTTCAGTAATGTATTTTTTAGTTGACACAATAACTTTATTATATTTATTTATTTTTAT